CGCTGCCGCGTATCCATTTCTCTCCCCCCGCAAACCGAGGGAGAACTCCGGGCGAGCCAGCGGTGTTAACTTTTCTTTCTGTCCCGCCGTCTTGCCGTGAAGGAGATCGGTTGCTAAACTCTTGCCTAACCAAACGAGGCGTGACACAACAGCCAACTTGTTTCAGAGAACGGGTTACTCGTTGGCGATCAATTTTCTTCCTAGTAACAGCGTTTGATAAGTTGTAATACGGTAGAAAAATGGTTCGGGAGTGATTTAGGATGTCAGAAAGCTTAAGGTCAACTAGCGTGCGCAGAGGTTGTGAACTGTAATTGCTCTTAATGCTGTTTAAGATTAACCTCAGTGGTTATCAGGGTTTATTGCATCAGCACCAGAGGAAAAGGAACTCATATGAAGAAATAAAACCAAGAGGCACAGGCAGCCATCTGCAGTTAAGTTAAAAGAAATACTGAAAGTAATCACTTTTAATGTTCAGTATTAAACAAGAATGCCCTTAAATAATAGTAATGCACAGCTAAAAGTATGTCCCAATTTTTAAAAAAATTGACAGATAAGATGCAAAATCTCACTGTAGATGGAAAGAATCATCAGCAAAAGAACAAACAATATGCAAGGGGAGAATGAATGAATGAAGTTTTTTTACTCTGCCTGTATTAGGAGGGTACCATGAGTAGAAAAACTGTTCTCTTTGGAGAATTCCAAAGCTATGGATGAAATAATGAAGCGTTAACTCACCTTGAGAGGAAGCTGTGCCTTTGTGATGCAGATCTGTGGAATGTTCAGCACCTTCAATGTCAGTAACCTCACAAGTACTGAAAGCAGCCTGGAGACCAGGTCCATGAGCTTGGTCCAACAAAGTAAATAGAGATCATATCAGAAATGTAATCATGCTTTAAGACTTCATATTATTCCTTCTCTTTCCCCAGCCCTTACAAACCCAAAGAAAATGAGGTAGTGCTCTTGATGTCTTATAGACAGAGGTACAATTTGTACAATAATTGGGAAAAGGAAGAGCAACTTGTTGCAATTTAAAAAAATAGTAATATCTAATGTTCTTTCTTGTAAAATAGTTCTAAAAGCAGATTTGTATCTCAGAAACGGGAAAAATTCTACTTTGTTGTTATGAAAAGGGAATCTATTCAGTTTATTGAGGAGTTTTGACATAAGGCTGATTATTTCTGTTATTTGTACGATGATGGCTCCTAACAACCCCAGTGGTAGACTGGAAGCCTACCCTGCCCTGCCCCAGGGAAGAGCCCCAGGGAAGCATACCAGTGGAAAACAGCTCTGCAAAGTGGGTCTCAGCTCACAGCAGAAATCCTTACACAAGCCTCAGCCCCCTGGTAGGCCTTCCCTCCCCTAAAGTCTGAGCAATTAGAGGTGCCTTTCAGGATGTCTGGAAGGTCAGGGAGCTGTTCGGGCAGGAGACCAACAAGTTTCTTTGGTCAAGGACACTTTCTCCTGCTCTGGGCACCCTACCACTCCTCTTTTTTCACACTAGTGACAGATGGATGAGAGGACCCAAAGCCATTATAGTAGGGTTTTGTTGGTGCTTGTGGTATACTTAGCATTAACTAGTAGAAATCCACAATTAACACAATTTCTCAGGCACAGACATTCTTGGTTTCCTCTGTGCCACTGCTGACCTTAATTAAAAGTTCACCTAACTCAAAAATAACTGAATAAACCACCAGAGCTCAAAAATTATTAGCCCAACTAATTATTTTCTAGGCTGGAGAAACAGTTTTGCTGTTAATTTAAGACTCCTGATTGGGTTGAATTATATAGAATTAACTTTGTTGAATGAAGCCATCACAGGCAGCCAAGGATTCAGTGAAAATAGCTGAAATTTCTGCTAGCAGTGAAGGGTTCAGTGTCATCTGGAATTAGCCTGTTTAAATGAGTTGAATGGTTGAATGCTGGTAAATGGTAAATAATACTGGGAGGACTTCAGTAGGAAATTATAGGGCCGTTTCTGACTTGTTGGAAAAGAGTAACTGCTAGCTTTCTGAGATTATAGGATTAAACTGTATCAGTACTTTAAGTGTGACTCATGAGCAGGGGCTTTCTGAAGAGAATTACATAAATTTCCCAAGGTCTTTCTGAATAACAAGTTGTTCCAAATAATTTCCCCATCCTTAATAATTATGGGTAAAATCCTGGCTCCAATGAGGTCAACAGAAAAAGTCCTCTTGATTTCAGTGGGGTCAAGATTTCACCCCCAGACTCTGGGAAGTGTTCAGCTCTTCTGTGGTAACTGGGTGAGGAAGAACTGAGGAAGACTCTGCAACTGGGCATAGTATTTTCTACCAACTGGCAATTTACTGTCCCACGATTTTTATATTTACCTTACTTAGTGATGAACGAGATTCTATTCTCATTTGCACCAGTGTGGATTTACAGTGTATTTTTAGATATGCCTGAGCAAAATCTATCTTCTTGTCAGGGCATGTGACCCCAAATATTTCTTGCTGGGTTGCAGAAGTAACGTAGGGAGAACTGTGCAATTCTGGGTTGACCATGTGGAAATTTACCTTACCCACACTTCTACCTTGAGGCAACTGTTCCCTTACCTCAGTAACTTAATTACAATTGACTTTGCAATAATTATTATAGTTCTAATCCAGAGTAGATAATACATACTGTAATTATACCTACAGGTATTTAAAAATCCCCAAAACCTAGACACCAAAGAAATCTGGAAAGCCAATGTAGTAAAATCCAATTTAATACAAGTCACTTGATGAACAAGGGAAGTAATACGATCTGTTTTCCTATGGATTTGCACATTTTGTCCCTTGGACCACCCACAATAGGTGCTCAGTTTTCTTCCAGACCTCTTAATCTCACCCCTTCTGAGCAAGAGATGGATTGTGTTGTGACGAGATATGTGCATCAGCTAGCCCACTGTGTTTGGATGACTGACTGATGAGTTTCACATCTTTCTCCCTCAGTGGGGGTCATCAATTTTCAAAAAGCACATGGGGGCCTCTCTCCTTCCAAAACTAGCTAAAAATTTAATAAGAATGACTGAAAAAGAGAAAAGTAGAAAATGCTGTCAGGTAGGTTCAATTTTTTTTTAGGAAGCCTACTAGAAATAAGGTTTCTCCATGGGTTTACATTTGAGTAATTCTCCTGAAGTCTCTTCAATCACAGTGTTTTATATCAACAGAAGATCCGACCATAAATATTTAAGAATTTCAAGCCTCTCATAGAGGGCACATGAGGACAGTTTCGAATTTTACAAGAGCAAAGGAATGAAACAAACGGCTTCACATTTTTCATGAGTCAATCCCTCCAACTCAGCCTGTGCTTTGGAGCCCCAGAGCATGTAAAGACTTTTATCTTTGTGCCAGCTCTTATTGTTAACCATTTTTCAGGAGTATATAACCAGATCTACAACTCTGTGTAAAACAGATTAATGTTGCTGGGTTAGCAAGCTTCAACTTCTAGTAGAACTCATTGAGCTTTACCTAAAGGTAGCCAAGATCAAGATATGCTCTGTCGATTTGAAGCTGGAATTTGTGGTGACATAACTGAGGATGGAGATACTCTTACTCTCCTGTGCTTTGAACAGTAGTACTACTTACTTGCTTTCTGATTTTTCTTGTTCTTACTCTCTTTCTCTTCCTATTTACTCAATTCTCATTTGCCACATATTACCAGTTTAAAGCTTAACAGTGTACATATTTACACACAAGTTTTTATCAATATTAAGTTTCAGAAAGACCTAGAAATTGTGTCATGTGCTAATAGTATTAGCACATGGGTGTATAAGTTAATGTAAAGTAGAAGTTTTTACTAGTGACCAAATTCTTAACTGCTTGTCTCTAGTGAGAGATTGGGGTAGGTGGGGAATGGGGACTGAAGCAATGTAAGCACTACAATATACCTCTAAAAATATACCTCTAAGAGATACTATTTGCCTTTCTAAAGTTGTTGAAAGACTATTATTTTTATCTCTTTTTATCTTTCAGCAAAATGATGGTCCAGCACTCAGGCCAGGTATCTGCATTAGAAGTCAGCGCCTCCGCAATTGTTCCCACTTTGTCCCCTGCAGGGTCACTGGGGTTTGATGATTTCACAAATTTAACCCCACTGGTGAAGGAGGAACTGAGGTTTGCCATTCAGAATAAGCGTCAGTATCACAGGATGTCTTCTACATTGGACACAGTGACAGTTTCTGAAAGGCCAATTGAAACATCAATGATGAAAACGGAGGTATGGCACTTTAAATAACATTTCGGTGTGAATGATTAATTCTCCTAAAAAGTTTCACCATAAGACGAGCAATTATATCAGCTACAGACAACCCTCTCTACTGTACTTGATTCTTTTAAGCCTACTGCCTGGATTTCTGTTGAGTGCTTTGGGGAAGCCCTCTGATATTTCTCTGAGTTGGATATTTGATTATGGACTAAGGACAATGTTCTACAGTGATTAGAGCAAGTGCTAATCTGGTTTCCCTGCCTACTTGTTGAGGAACTTGGAATAAGTAACTGCTGAAGTTCTGTTTCACTGAGAGCAGGACCCACCAGGGCTGGACTAAGACAGACATGGCCATGCTATGTCTGTCTGTGTTTTTGCTTTACGATAATACTCTTCATGAAAAACATTTGCCTTTTAATGTGGAGAAATAGCTTAAATTGGGGAAAGAGCTACACCTTGGCCTGAGCCGCCACAGGAGACAAAACAAAGCTTGAAGGAGTGTGTTACTATCCTGGTTTTGGTGCTGCCTTTAGTTCAACTCAGTCTTGCTGCTTCATTCATGACACATCCTCCAATCTGCTTCCTGTGCCCCTCATTCCTTTTCCTCCCTGGGAAATGGAGAAGGCATGGAGGTGTGGGAGTCAGCCTAGGGAAGTATTCAGCAAATTTTTTGAGTACCATTGATTTTAAGTGAGCGATCACATGGATTACATCCATCTGAATTCCAGTCAGATTTTTATTCTGATGAAGTTAGAATATGGCAAGGTCAAAACCACATTCTTCTGTAGCTCATGATATGAAAACTGACAACACTATCCATGTTGATTTTAAAAATGCAGAAATTATCAAAATGCAGGTGACATATTCACAACATCTTATGGATTGTGTATCTGTTTTTGTGGGACAGTTTTCTCCTGAAGAGGATGAAAGAAAAAAGCGAAGAAGAGAAAGGAACAAAATCGCTGCAGCAAAGTGCCGAAACAAAAAGAAGGAAAAAACGGAATGTTTGCAGAAAGTAAGTGACTGGCTAGAATTGGTCTTAATCTGCTGTCCTGCCAGGATCCAAACTGATAGCATGGGGTATTGTCATAGTAGACAATACATAAATAATTGTCACCCAGAACTCTGTAAACTCTTCAAAACATTAGTAATAAGAAATGAACATGCTATGTATTAAAACCAAACCTGGTTAAAACTGGAATAACATGAAAGCATGGTAGGAATAAAAAGATTAGTGTTTCAGTGGCTGAGCTTGACTCTGGGGATATTAACTTGAATGTGTACACTGAACACAAAAAGAAGTAAAATGTAATTTCACACAATATTCACTGTGGAGAGCCTGCAAACACCTACAGGTAATATCTGACTTCTTTATGCAGTGAGTGGCTTACCCCTGAGTCTTCTGTCCTAGAACCTCAGTCATGTCTTCACCTCCTGTGCTCTGATATACAACTATATTACAGCAGCATCAGGCCTGTCTTTATTCCTGTATCCAGGGACAGGGAAAAGAACCTATGTCCTTACTTTGTTAACTTAACATGAGTTTACATGTATGTGACATGATGTTCCAGGGAGTAAAGAAGCAGTGTAGTTAATTTTGGGTCAATTTTGACCCAAAAAGCTCAGAATAATTTTGCAGAAGATAGCAATAATGCTTTGAGTATCTGTCACTATAGTTGAATACAAGTCTGAATTGGTCTTTTCAACCTCCATTACACTTCTCCAAAGGCCAAAGGAGGTAGCTGTCAATCTGGTTTTTTAGACTGACTGGGGAATGTATAGTTTCATCACTACAGCACAGAAAGAACATGTGATTTCTTTCTTTTGCTAGCCATCTGCTTTCCCATCAATAAAAGACCATGACTGTTAGATAAACATTGCAACTGACTATTTGAACTACTCAGTCTAATAGTTGTGTCTGTCCCTTGTGACCAGGAATCAGAAAAGTTGGAAACTATCAATGCGGAATTAAAAGCCCAGATTGAAGAGCTAAAGAATGAAAAGCAGCACTTGATATACATGCTAAATCTTCACAGGCCTACTTGTATAGTTCGTGCACAAAATGGAAGGACACCTGAAGATGAAAGAAATCTTTTTATTCAACAGATCAAAGAAGGCACATTACAAGGTTAAGTGATATGGCAAACATGGAAATATTTACAGTGTTTTTAACAACTACCAGAATCCATGGAGGATCTGACATGATGTGTAGGATTCTATTAGTCAAGAGCCTTTAGGAAGGGCAGATTGCTTTCTTGAGTGGAAAGAATCATTTTGGCTTGACAGCGATTCTTCCTCTTGGAAGATCTGGTCTCAATCAAATTGAAGAGTCTTCTGCCTCAAATATAGGTTTTGCACCTGTCATACTTGCTGTTCCTAGGAGCTACAGACAACAGCTTCAGAAGTTTTAGCTCTCTGCTAGTATACAGTATCTGCACTCACAAGGTTTGTGCTAGAACACTATGACTTCAATGATGCACATGGTACAGACAGCTGTGCTGGACGGACACTACCTTTCCTTGTTGTTGGTAGGGGAAAAAGACTGAGAGTGTTTTTTGAAGTTTCTAGGAGGATGGTTTCCGGCAGCATGTACTGATATGTAATGTTGCATTCTAACATCACACAAACACACACACACACAAACCCTCTTTAGTTCCCACTAAACTGTCATTATTTTCACAACACTCGTGTGGGTTCTTTCTATGACTCATCTCAGAGACTGGATTTGAAGAGCCTAGTAGGTGTGACAAAGAAATGTTTCTCACAAACATCCATGTAACCTAGCTTGTATTTTATGAACTGTCACCCCATCTACTATCCTTTGGGGACTACAATTTTTCCTTGAATTGCTGAAGAGCAGCTTGTACCATCACTTGGTGACTTGGTGAATTGGACCCACTTGAGAGAAGTGAGAGAATACTACTATCGAGGGGTATTGATAGAGCTCTTGTTGAAGTAAAGATCTGCAGGACCGATTCCCAGGCTCCTGAACCTTCAAAAGTTTGGGGTTTTTTGGTTTTTTTTAAAAATCATCTAGGATCTAATCCTACAAGCCTTAACTCACACTATTGACCCTTACTCACAGAAGAGGTTCCATGGATTTCAGTGGGTCTGCTTATGCAGATAGCTCTTAGAGGCATAAGAGCTTGACAGAGCTTTCTCCGTCCTGGTCAGGATCCCTTCCTTTTGCCCGGTGATTCAGAGGGAAAAATTATGGTTGCAGCTACTTTTATTTTACATTTGAGTGGCAACTACAGTAAATCGAAAGTGTTGCTTAGAATCTAAAGGAGACAAGAGTTTTGATGTAGTGAATAATTTGGTTTATTTTTCATTAAATACTAACCTTAGATGTTTTTGAAGTGGTAGAAGAGCTGCTGGACAAAACAGTTGGAGCTATGAGTGTTTAAATTCTGATGTTTCTGTGAAATTTTCAGATTGTTTATTTCTATAAAATATATCCTTACAATTTTTTGTAAAAGAATATATTATTCTTATTTATCACTAACACCGTGATGAGTAGAGTTAATAAATACTGCGAGCAAGATAAAACTGAAAACACAAGTGTTGCGCTGTCTTTTTACTTTTATCTCTTGGTGTTTAATATTATATATTCCTAAACTTCACCAGTTGTATTTGAGACACCACTATTGAAAACACTGATTCTTCATCTTTTTCAAAGATGAGGCACTGAATGTCTTGAACAATTGAGTGCAGATATTATACCTCCCAAAATTCTGAATCTCCATCAGTGGTGTCTAGCTGTTCAATGTCACAATTTAAACAAAGCAGAATACAAATGGAGCTTACAGTACATAATATTTTGCACCAGTTACGCAGTGTTGAAATTCTCTGTTTGTTCTAAAGGCTAAACTTAAAGATACCTCAGCCATAAGTTTCTTACCCTACAAGTCCTGCATGAGTCTATCTGATATCATACCTGATCCTTATATGTTCATTATATTCTGCAACAGAACTTCTTAGTACCTTTTCCTAAGATCTGGATATATTGTAATGTCCTATATCACATTTTAAAGATATGTACTTCATGTGTCTGAAAAGTGAATGTATTACAAAGATGACATACTAGGTCTGATTCTGTCCTCGGAATCCACTATCATTCTGTATGCCAGAAGGAGGTTCCATGGACTTCACTGAGAGTTTTATTCATCTCCTGTGGAAGTCTGGAGTCATGTCCATGTAGAGCTTGGAGCCTCTGTGGCAACTCCTCCAGCTTAAAGGGCAAGTTCTACATGTAATTGGGCCAGCTGTTTATCAGACAACAAGCATACATGAAGTGCATTAATAAGCTTGTCAAACAATGTTCATTGTTATTTGACTTCTGTAATGTGGAAATACAAAACCAAGGCATCATCCCAGTATCCTACACCTTGGCTTTGGTTTTTGTGCATCAAATGCCAGCAGACAAACCTGTTTGCCTCCTAATCAGTTCTAAAGTATTACCACAGAGACTAGAATATAATGACAGAATTCACGTGTCTCCCGTAGGGAATTTGTATGGTTGCTTTTAACCATATCACTGGTGACGCAGGCGTCATGCTTTTGTTGCTTGGTATTATTTACTCAGCATGCCAAATGTTAATATGGTACCACTACTGTCAGAAGATAATCTATTTTTATTTCTTTATATGTGTGGTCATAGCTGCTTTGTATTGCTTTTGTACGTGTGTGTGTGCACGCGTGCCCCTGCACGCTGCTCCGGAAATGATGGCACTCAAGTTCACTTGACTGTGCCCAGAAGAAGAGTGTTTAAACAGCCAGACAGGAATGTTGCAGAGTTTTCTTAAAGTGTACTTTATTCAGGAGAACCCTTAAAATGCATTAAAAGCAGTTTGTTTTCTATTCTCAAGGTTGTTTTGATACTTTAATAAAAAAGAATTAATATATATTTATTCACGTGTCACTTAATTCATTTTAAGTTTCAAGATCCCGGAGCAACTTCATTTTCTTAGAACAACACCAAAATATTAAAAAACAAACACGTTTTATTGGTTTGCAACAATAAGTGTCTGCGAAAGTGAAAATGGTACTGTTCCCTCCTTGCCAAGGTCTAAACAAAATTTTATTACAAGAGTTATTGTGTATTCCAGGCTAATTTCTTATTTGTGGTCTAGTACTTAGATTAAAGGACTGGAACTTAGAACTCCTAAACCTTTCCTAACTTTGCAACTGACCAGCTGATAGTTATTTCAACTTTCTGGTTACCTAATGAGTTTAATGCTTTTGCTGGTGTGAAGCTTTAATGTTTATAGATTGCTTTCAGTGGTTACTTGGAAGTTACTGAAGAAGTATGGCATGATTAGGGCTTTTCTCTGCGTGTCTGTGTGTTGATGTGTGTGGGGAGAAACATGAGGAAAGATGAACAAAATGTTCTCTCCTGCCTTTCCAAAACGAAGTATCTACACACCCAGACAAAAGTCCCTGTGTTTTGAGAGCCGGTGATGTGGACAAAAACTTTTGGCTTCAATGTGTTGCAAGCAGTCATAGCTTGTTATACAGAGGCCAGATAGAAGGCCAGGAACTCCTGCGACCAGGAAATCCATGGCCCTATTGCAAAATCCAGTTAAAAATATCCTCTGGAAGGAAGATCTAGGCTACTATGAGCTTGGCAGTGCTGAATACTTACTTTCCTTGTTGGTACATCCGTTTACAGATGTTCAGTCCTCGTATGTATTTGCCCTTTCGTGCATTCTCCTGAATGATTTATAATAGGCTGGAAATGTTTAATGAAACTGAACAGTAAGAAATTTAAATTTACAAGAACTTTTCTCCCTGGGACCGATAGAATTTGAAGTTATTGACTAAAGGGATAGTTTTAAAAATCACTGATTCTTTGTTTTGCAAAAGACACCAAATAATTTATGGGGAATGAAAATGAAGCAGTGCTATTGTTTATTAGTAGCAAAATAGTTTTTGAAATGAAATCTACTTCATCTTAAAAAATTCCCAAATCCAGAACGATGACTGTATCTCATACGCATTTTTCTTGGTGGTTTTGTTCCCTGCTTCAAGCAGAGTACTGGTCTAGGTACAAGTCTCATTCAGGCTGTCCGTTGCCATGTTTCTATGTTTGCCCAGTGCCCTCAACTGGAGACCCTGAGAATCACCCCGGGATTAAAATGTGCAATAATACTAATTTACTTAATTTCTTAGCAACATTCTTCATTGGTTAGTAAAGACACCAATAGACTATTTTCATTTCTATAATAGATGCCATTCCTTTTTAAGTGTAGTTAAGATAATGAATGACTGTATTTTTAAAAAATCCTGTTATTTAAAATTCATTTCCTTAATGGACACTCTGAGTCAGAACTGCTGACTCTAGGGATAAAAATAGTTATTTGCTAATTTTCGGTGCTATTAGATCTTCATAACCATCACAGTTAGAAGATAATACACTGGAGTCTATTCTAGAGACAGCATCAGTTCTGGCTGTGTATCTTTAATAGTGCTGACAGTGATGCATGAATCAAAAAAAAACACCCTAATGATTTTCAGACCCCGAGCTAAGTGTACTAGAGCTAACACTCAGAAAAAAACATATTAGACCTGTGAAATGAATAAACAGAAAATTTGAACAAACTGAGAGCTGAAGCTTGGAATCAATTTCTTCTTTTGAGAATTTAACATCTTCATATTAGTAGACTCCACCAAAATAATTGGTGTACACCCATGCCGACGTGGTGGGTATGCCCATGCAGCAAATAGCAGTGTGCAATACCAATATTTTTACATAAGTACTTCAGTACTGGGAACATCCCAGTGATGACAGCAAGAATCTCAGCACAGGCTAATTGATGTCACTGGGAGGATGAACTCTCCATGCATCCAGGGGACAGTCTGCTACTGGCATTTGAGGTAGCTCATTTAGAGCCAACTTGGGTATCATTCAGTTCCTCAGGTTAGCACATGTCACGTCGCTGCCTGCATTCCCAACTAAACAGCTCCACCACTTCACACCAAAGGCCCATCCAGCCCAGTTTTCTTTCTACAGCAGTGATCAAAAGCAGCTGGCCAAGGAAAAATAAGAACAGGGCAAGTATGCTTCCCCTGGGTGCTTTCCCACACTCCAACTATTTTCAGCTAGTGAGTCACACAAGCTTGCCATGAATCCTTTAGGTAGTACCCTTCCATAAATCTTTCTGTCAAGTATTTGACCAGTTGCTCATCCATGGTACCAGTATCTGCAGTAGCTTATGGTGGCAAGTTCCATAGGACTATCACCACTCAAAAGAAGAAAACAGTTCCTATTTTTTGACCCTGTTCTCCAGAACTCTACGTGGCATCCCCTCATTTTTGGACTGGAAGAGCGACCACCTCTCCATGCTACAGGATCTTATACTTTGCTGTGTTGTTTCTATTTTGATAGCCATTTTACATTCTTGATCATTCCTGTTACCAAGTTTTTCTGGGAAAATGGTGGCTTTTCCTTAACCCTTTTCCTCACCCTTTAGGATAAAGTGATCATAACTACACATAGTATTCAAGGTGTGGTCAAGCCATGAATTAATAAAGTGGGATCTTGGTGTTCACTGTCCCTTTCCTAATAACTCCAGAAATTAGGTTTATGATTTGGTGACTGTCACATATTAAG